GGCCCAGCTGTTCCCCCCTCTCCCTTAACCCCCCAGCCCTCTCCCCCCCGCCCGCCCCCCCCGCGGTGCCCGATGGTTCCCAGCCCCGGGAGGGTGTTGGCCGGGAGCCGGGTCTGATGTTTTCTTCCCCCTCCCCATTTTAGCAAACATGTCCTGACCGAAGACATCGTGCACCGGGAGGTGACAGCGGACCACAAGCTGCTCTCCCGGCGGCTCCTGACCAAGACCAACCGGATGCCCCGCTGGGCGGAGCGCTTCTTCCCGGCCAACGTCGCCCACTCCGTCTACATCCTGGAGGACTCTATCGTGGACCCCAAGAACCGAACCATGACCACATTCACCTGGAACATCAACCACGTGCGTCTCATGGTAGGGGGGCGGGCGTGCGGCCATGGGGCAGGCGCCGGGCGGTGCCCACAGCCGGGTTGTGCCTCGTGCAGGTGGTGGAGGAGCGCTGCGTGTACCAGGTGAACCCGGAGAACAGCAACTGGACCGAGGTCAAGCGTGAAGCCTGGGTCTCTTCCAGCCTGTTTGGCGTCTCACGGGCCGTCCAGGTGAGCGCTGCCAACTGCTCGAGCAGCACTGCGTACCCCCTCTTTGGAGAGGCCTTAAAGCTGCTGCTCCCCCCTGCTCTACCCCTTCCCTGTGCTGGTTTTTCCACCCTTTTCCCTTGTTCCCCCCATCCTCTTGAGCTCTTGGGGCACTCGGAACCATCACTGCTGGTGGGCATGAGCCCACCAGATGTTTGGGACTGGTCAAGCTGGGACAAAGCCCCAGGGGCTGCGTGTGACCAGGGAGCTGGGCTCACACCTTCACCGACTCTTCTGTTGCAGGAATTTGGTCTGGCCAGGTTCAAAAGCAACGTGACCAAGAGCACTAAGGGATTTGAGTATGTGCTAGCAAGAATGCAAGGTGAGCACCCGAGGGCAGGCTGGAGCTGACCAGGAGGGGTCTCTTGGAGTTACAGGTCACATGAGGAACACTCGAGTCCACGGGCAGGTCGTGGCTTGAACTAATCTGACTGTGAAATCCTCATCCCTTGCCTTTTGCCCCCATGTCTTGGCACAGTCAGCTCTTCCCGAGCGGAGCAGCCAGGCAGCACTTGCACAGGGCAGGGGGGGCAGAGTGCAGGCAGGAGGGGGACATAATACGGCAGCAGTCACGTGCCTGCAGTTCCCCATCATGACATGCCCTGACACACACAGGGCAGGAGTGCTGGGCTTGGCTTCCCCCTGTGTGGGGAAATCGCCTCCATCCCGAGGTGACGGGGCCGGGGCTGGTCTAGCTTGCGTCAGCCGGCACTCCTGTGACAGGGCAGGGCAGGGGCCCGCTGGGGCTGGGTTAACAGCTTCCATGTTACAGGAGAAGCTCCGTCCAAAACGCTGGTGGAGACAGCCAAGGAAGCAACCGAGAAAGCCAAGGAGACAGCTCTGGCTGCTACAGAGAAAGCCAAGGACTTGGCGAGCAAGGCAGCCACCAAGAAGAAGCAGTACGTGTGAGGGGCCGGGCACAGGCGGGCGCCGGCTGCACCAGAACAGATAGGAGCCTCCTTAGATTTTATATTTTTAAAGAAACTGTACAAGTCTGACAATCAGCTGCTGTTAGACCCTTTCGGAGATGTAATTATCATTAAAGAATCTACTCCCACCTCTGATTTGGCCGGGGCTGGCCTGGCTAGAGCAGAGCCCGGCGCCGCCCTCTGCTCCGGGAGTCCAGCCCGCTGCTGGGGGCCTGGGCTCACAGGCAAGACGCAGGCAGGGGTTTCACCAAGTGCCTTTACTAGAATAGTGTTGGGTATGTACAAGGGGGGGGGGGGGCAGGCGGGAGACG